TGCTTCTACCTCCCTCCTGGCAATGTCGCCTCCCACTTCACCGACAACGTGCATCCTCCACTCGCCAATACGGAGGCTTCCGCTACTCGCCCTACCTTCAACCTCGCATCCAATTCCTCGTCCTCACTATTTAGTCTCCAGTTCTGCGTGTCCTCACTGCACTTCCGAAGTGGGCACCAACTTTGACTGACTGGTGAGTGGTGCAATGCAGACGCACCTACTCACCGGTCTCTCCTCCGCCCACCAATCTCCAGCATCACTTTCGGCGGAAGGACATTGGGAACTGGGCAAGGTGTTGAGAAATGGCCTCAATCCTTCTCTCCAATTCCACCCTGATACTCCAACTCCTCCAAAACCACGCGTTGTCAATGTACGCAGAGCCTGTGAATGCGACAAATTTACAACACGTGGTCCCACCTACCTACCTACCTACCTGGATGATTGTGCTGGAAGGAAGGGCACATCCTCCAAGTTGCATCTACTACTAATTGCTTGTGATGCTTATTGCCACCTGCCTTGGCATCAGCCCAACAATCATCTGCCCAACAGGGTGGACAGATGGGCGGATGATTGATGTGAGGTGTTCCTGCCACCGACGACCAAACAAATTGGCAAAGCTGAGCTCGTGGAAAGCAACCGTAGCACTACGGAAAGTATATCGCAAATGTGGGCTCTTTCGAGAGGGCGCCTTCCCTCACTTTCGCGTCAAGTTGTTGTAAGCTTATGGGTGGTGTAATGCATGGTGGGAGGTTCAGTTCACTAGTCGTGGAAGTTGCAGCATTGGCGAAGAGGCATGAGGTGTTAGGAGAGGCAGCAAGCATGGGAAGGATGACTGGCAAAGAAGACGACGTTGCGTTCATTCCACTACGCACCACAGAACCCACAACTTGCCCAGGAACATCGGGGGACGCGGGTCGACGTAAAGAGGAGAGAATGGCGGTGCACAGACGTCGCTCATAGACGATTCAGCAGCGGCACACTAAACATTTTACCACTTGCAATGCGTTGGTCATGAAACACACAACGCTGGAAGGAGGACATTCATGAATGAAATCCCTCCGACCTCCCTCGTGCACACCCACGACATGACAGGTGGCAAGAGTAGGCCGAGAGAAAGTACGTTTATGGAGATACAAAGGTGAGTGAGACTGCAGTATTTGCTCGAGGTTATCGAGGGTCCTCACTGAAACAGGACGATGTTTCACTTACATTCCTCCATTTGATCTTTTAATGCAGTCCACTTGAAGTTACACTCGACCGACAGGCAGTGCTCGTCATTCACAAGTCTGAAGGCAGGCTGTTACACATCTTCCGCCTCCATTACCTCCCCCCAACTGCTCGACTTTACTCGCTCCATGATACTGATAAGCGTCTCCAACACTCCCCCACGCCTTCCTTTCACTTCATCTCACCACTCTTCCTCCTTCCCACTATGCCAGACAGGTTTTACTGATTGGCAGCCGCCAAAAACTCCTCCTCCTCCTACTCTTCCCACTTCGCTCGCCTCCCACCATCACTGAGCTGATGCGAGGCACACCAGTCACCTTTCCTCCAGTCAGGTCATCGCACAGACACCAAGTCCCAATGCATTCACCGCCCCAATCTCTCCTCCTTCATGACACACTGGCCGAAATGTGCAGATTAATGGCCACATTGCGTCTCCGCGTTCCCTATTCACCCACCTCCACTACTGTTGCAGACTAATGCGCGCGAATGGGGCTGCTGTACTACCGAAGTTGACTTCTCGG